ATATATAATCACTGAGAAAATCAATTGTGCATATCGAGAACAATTTTATTGCTATGTGGGTCGTTTGGGTTAGTGCAGACGACTAGTGGCTATTGTGGTGGTGGGAGCTAGCCGACTCTCACTCTTGGGCCTGGCCATTGAGGCGAGAAGCCCGGGACTGATCGGAAACCAGGGTTTCCCGGCGCGGAGCCAAACGCGGAGCTTCCTTCAGCTGCCGGGACGAGGCGGCCCTGCCCACCGTCCCGCAGCGGTCACTCGGCCGCTTGCGCGCATGCGCCGACCCCAGCGGGAGTCCTTCCCGGCTCCTTCCCTCCCTCATCCGGGTCCTGGGCGAGCGGGCGCCGTGCGCGTGTCCCGTGGCCGAGCTGCTAATAAAGTTGCACCGAGGGGAAGCGCAGCGACGGCGCCGGGAGAGGGTGCCCAGGCGGCTGGAGAGTGAGTGTGGGGCCCCGGGGTGGGCGGGCGAGCGGGAGCGGGGGCTGCAGGCTCTGCCCGGACGTGGCTCGCCCTCAGACCCTGGAGGCCGGACTCGGGCCAAGGCGGGGGCGTTCGGCCGCGGGCGGAGCGGAAACCACCCGGGCCTGCGGGGCGGGAGGTAGGCCGAGCCCCGGTCTGCTGGGGTCCGGGACGCGGGGATGAGGCGGCCCGTCTGGCTGCGGAGGCCTCGCCTGCGGCCGGGGGCGTCACGAGGCGGGGCCGAGGCTGGTCCTTGTCCCGACGCCGTTGTTACCGCCCCTACTGTGCAGGGAGGCATTCGGGACGCGCTCGAGGGGTCCCCGGCCTCACTTCTGTTCCGAGGAGCGGTTTGTTCTTCCTCATCTTAGCACCACCCTCAATACCCCCGGGTACGAGTGCAGTGCTCCGCCGAGCGCTGCGCTGCAAAGCCGTCCAATGGCTCGATGAGTCCGTGCCGCCGTCGCTTTGTGTTTCAGAGATAAGGATCCACGCTTATCGGTGAGAATTACACGCTGGGCATTTGTGACCTGCTACTGCCCTGAGCTGGTGGTTAGACCTGGTTTCTGCCACTGGCCATGCCAGTTTTCACCCCTGCAAAGATTTCTTCTGCTTCATGTAAACTTTTGCACTGCTGCAAGGAGAATGCCAAGCAGTGTTTGTTTGCCTTCATGGTATTCAGCCCCCTGCCCGATCCTTAACTGCTGTATGAGTACTCAAATTCTTTTCCAGTCTCTCCCCCTCCCTTTTCGCTCTCTTCCCCTTTCAGCTGCTATTATTACGTGGAGTTTGGAGCCTAAGCTTTGAAAACTCCCATGTGGCGCCCGTCTTAAATCGGAGCATGCTCAGTAGCCAAAACAGATTTTGGTTGCAAAAAGAACTGGGGTTAGGATAGTTGAGTATTTGGACCTTTGCCTGCTTCCTAACAAAATGTTTGAATTCTGGTTTTGATGGCTGTGGAGAACGGAGTTGTAGGCCAGGCTGGAGGTGAGGAATGCCTGAACACCCTGGGCCAGATCTCTATCTTGATTGTAGAGACATTGTTTCCTGACCAGCTGGAGGTCTAGAGAGAGGGGGGGAAAAAGCATTCCTGGCTGCCTGTGCGTTGAAACTGGGTGTGGTGCTAAGTATATCTTGTTTACCTTATCTTTCTTTGGAAAAATTTTCAAGTCTGGTTGGGTTTGTCACTGAGCATCACGCCTGTTGCTTAGTACTACCAAATTGTTCTTATCTAGCAACAAAGACTGAATAGGTGGAGTTTGTGGCTTGGCCTCATTGAAGTTGAGAGGAAAGGGTACTTGGGTTGCTGTTTTTAAAATGCTTTTTTATCAACTAGAGTACTTGAATATTTTTAGAGTACCCAAATTGCCCAGAGTGAATCTGTTTTTAATTTCCATTTGAAAACAGAAAAGTTGAAAACCTTAGTCCCATTAGGTATAGTAACAATCCAAGTAGTTAAAAATTTCTGCTAGGTGTCAAGGCAGTAGTGTCTGTCGGGAAAACAATACCAAACACAATGTGATAGGTTCACATTTGTTGATCTGAATATTGTTATGAAATTAGTGGGTTCCAAATTCAATTAAGTAAGGATCTGAAATTATTTGATACTCTTTTTCTACTCCTTTTATGCTAACTTTTCTTCCCTTCTGTGCCTTAGGGGTGAACCTGGAGATTATAAGAATACGAAACAACTCATAAGAGACAAGTTAACAAAATGTAACCTTCATAAAAGTTCTACATATTATGTGTAGATTTTTGTGTGTGTGTGATTTTTTGCATGATTGTATATAGCATCCTCCTTTCCTTCCCTTTACATTGCTGCTGTCAGTGTGCCTTTCTTTCCTTTTCACACAGCTGCTGTTATGATACCCATTTACATTTGTTACAAAAATTCATTCTTCATTTATGCTTCCATTTCTCTCAGATTATAGCCAAAATAAGTAGTAAAAGTTAGATTAACCTTGACTGACTTTCCTCTTAGGTTTTAAATGCATCTATATGATATGATCCTGTTAAAAGGATAAAGAGAGCAGCGAACTGGAAAATAAAATATTTTTGTATATTCTATGCAGGTTTGGTGGTATTATCTAACCTGTCTGGTTCACTGTGGTAGGCGCCACAGAAATGGGTAGATTGATATGTGTTGCATTTCTTTCCCCTCTGGCAAAGTCAGCTATTAATTTCAGTGGGAGACAGTGGCAGAATGTTATTACTAATGAGGTTTGAATCAGATTGTTGTTTATTGTTGGTTATGTAACATGTTGCTGGGAGTATTATTAAAAGTTGCCTTCTTTTGGAAGGTAGAGGCAAGTAAATTCTGCTTACCCTCTTCACTGGGTTTTAATTCTTGGCTGAACCTTGAAGGCTCATTAGACTATAACCGTAATTATACCTGGACAGCCTGTCTGTTTCCTGTTTTCATCATGAACCCAAACATTATGATTTGCAGTGATGATCTTTTTTGTCCTTTGTATTAAAGAGGCAATACGTTTTCTCTCTCTACTAAAGATATTTGTAATTTGATCAAATCAAAGATACTGGCTTCTTTGGGTTTTGAAGACTAGGCAGTAGAACAGCAGTTTTTGTTTCTTAGTAACTCAAGTTGAAATACTATTTAAAAATATATTTCACACATATTGTTTGTGTTTTATGTATATTTTAATGTTACCAATAGTTTGTAGAGTCTTTGAATTAAGAAAGCCCTTTTTGTTTATGGCTTATCAGTGTTTATTATTACCAGATGTATATGTTGGTTTAGGCAGTGAGCCACACATTTGAGAGAATTTCAGAGCTGACTTAAATACACTTTAGGATATAGCTGCCTTTATTCTGGTTTATTAGTCTTCCCTGTTCTCTTCTGGTGGTATCCTGTGGGTTAGCCAGTCTACTCCTAAGGTCAAAGACATTAGAGAAGATTTCCTTTTGTGAGGGACAGTGACAGCCTGAGGGATGATTCTTATCTCCACCAATCTAGATATTCTGAAGAATAGAGTATCTGGTAGGTAGGACCCAAGAAGGCTGCGCAGAGATAGGGTGCTTTCCCAAGGAAGATGACAATGATCCCAGGAAGCCTAGCCATGTCTTTTTACACCTTGTTTTTCCACTTCCAGAGTCAATAGAATAATAGAAATTGAAATTTTTAGTGCTGGATTATTCAGTTCGTTGCCATTGTCTCGAACTCTAACTCTGATAGGTATGTTTAGTAGTTGGAAGGTTAAGGTATAAAATTCTCTTCAAAAAATTGCTGAAGGCTAGATGATTGTTAGGATCAGCTAATTTTCCATTCTTATAGATTACCTTTATATTCTGATAGCTTTTATTAGTTTACAAAGATGGGACAAATTACAGCTTAATTGTTTTTTTCTTAAATAATCAGTTAGTTTTGGGCTCCAGTTTTTTGATATATTTTTACCTTGGGCAGCTAGATGGGGAGATTTTTGGCTCCATTCTAGTAGAGAGTTGGTTTCAGTGACTACTTCTTGCTTTTACAGTATTCCTAACTTGATTGTGATAATATTTTAAAATAAAGAATTCTTTATTAGACAGTCCTGTGTGTGCAGTACTGTAATTATAATTCACTTTTGGAAACTAGTTGATAAAGTACATTTTGTAAACAGGTTTTACTCATGAATTCTGTGGTACACAGTTTCTGCTTGTAATTTCTATATACTTTACGGAAATTTGAAATGCTTTGATCTGTTGTGAGATTTTAGCTGAATTTTTAATTTTGATTTCCATATATGTTATTTTCATTATTATTGAGAATAATAGGAAAAACTAGTGTAATTTCCTACCTTTCCCTGAGCATAGCAAAGGGAGTCCTGAGAAGAGTCTTACACTTTTCATATGTAACTATGATCTCAGAATATGGCTAGTGCTTTCAAGGCAAGTTTTGTTTTGTTCAATTTTGTTTTCATGATGTGTTAGGATCTGCCTAGCACCTATCTGGTAGGTTGTATAACTTGAGATCTAGTTATTCTAGTTTGTGTATTCCTAGAAGATGGGAGCATTGCAGAAATATTTCAAAGTTAGTCTCTTTTTTTCCCCCCGTATTCACATCTTTTTGCCCATTCAAGTACCTACTTAACTTAGTGGCCATTCCACTCTTTGGAGGTGAAGGTGTAAATTAAATGAATGCTGACTAGAGCTGAAAAGGTACCCAGAGCCACATTTGCTCCCTTTTCTTCTGAGTGGGTGACCTGAACTTTGGAGTGCATGTGAGGTATCTGGGGAACACCTTCATAAAGTGTCAGAATATATGTGTACACAAGTTAGCACTTTGTGCTCCAGAGACACATTTTGTGACGTAATGATTTGGTATCTACCCTTGACGATTTTATAATTTGAAGGAAAGCACTGTAAAGATTGACCAGCTCTTTGTCTGTTACTGTGCCTACAAGCCTATACAAGTAAACTTGAACACATATGGTAGCAATGTAGGAAATCTTGCAGACTCTGTGGAGGTGAGTGATACATCTAGATCAGGCTCTACGTAATTAGAGGACTTAGAGGAGCAGGTGAAGTTTAAAGAGTGATTAAAAACTGGGAAACAGAAGTCTGAATGTGGAGATAAAAAAGATTAAACTTGTGGGCACAAAGAGACTAGGCTAGAAGATTATGCTGTGAGAAGTGTCAGGGATCATAAGTTCAGCTTCTGTATGGCTTTGAATGGTTCTCATCCACTATGAAAACTTTTAACGTGTTTGGAAATTGGGAGCCACAATTTGGGAAAAGTGGCGATTTAAGTGTTTCTCTAGGAAAATGATTGTGGTACTCGTCATTTTATCCCCTCGTCCTTATAGATGTTCCGTAAGACTGATTTCTGAGCCTAGAAATGCTTGTAGGTAAATTGTTTTTGATTTCTTTATCTTCTCTGCAGTCATGGTTGTGGCTTACATGTTTTGTAGTAATTGTATACCTGGATCTAAGATTGGTTTGCAGGAGTGGGGGCTGTCTACTCTTGCTGATACTTTGTGACTGCTATTGATATTAGAACCACAGGGTAAGATATTTTTAAAGCTTTACCCCCGTCAACCACAAAAAAGTTATTCTTGGATGTAGTATGTAGGCAAATGACTTTCTTCCATTGCAGGCGATCCTAAGGGCCCTGGTTCTCAAACCTGCTTCATAACCTGGGACTCTTGTTAAAAAAGTGGGAGTTAGAGCCCAACTCTCAAACCTAATAAATCTGAATTTTGGGAGATGGTTATGAGGAATTCGTTTCTTTAAAATCCTCATCTGTAATACTTTTGTACAGTTTGCTGGAGATGATAGTAGGTTGTGATCCATATGAACATTTATTTGCATGGGTTGATGTGCCCAGAAGATTCTGTTTTGGCTAACAATGTTGTGTGAAATTTTTGGATTGGTTTGCTTGCCTTTTATTTTGGATTGAAAACAATTAGGGAGATGTTAGAGTAGAAAGTGAAGTAGCTGTTTCTATGAATTTACCTTGGAAATTGGGCATGAGCAGTGTGTGCTTTGTGTCTGTCTGTCTCTCTGGGGAAGAGTGTTGAGGGTGGTTTGTGTGTGTTTGTAGGAGTTGGTCAGGAGTTCCTACTGAAGTACCTTGAGGTAAGAACAGGACCTTCAGGCTCTTTCTATTAATATGACTTCATTTGAAATGGAAGCCTGGTGAAGGTTAAAAACATTTTCTTCACACATTTAATGTAAGTAAAATGTAACTGCTGATCTTTCTTTATTTTCTGTATTAGCCTTACCCAAATCAATTGATGACATCCCATTCTTTAGCAACCTAGGCTGACACCTTGGAATCATTGTTGACTCCTCTGTTTTCACATTCCCCATATCTTTTCCATCAGGAAACCTATTGTCTCCCAACATATATGTGAAATTGTCTACTTTTCACCACCCCACTGCTAAAACCCTGGTCTAAGCCATCATTATCTGTCACCTAGATTATTGCAACTCTGAACTAGTCCTTCTGCGTTTACTCTTGCTGACCTCCTCCCACCCTCCGTCCCCAATTCTCAACACGTCAGTCAGAGTAATTCTTCAATAAGTTAGATAATGTCATGTTTCCATTTAGGGCTCTCAAATATAGTGAAAGCCAAAGCCCTTATTACATCCAGCATACCCAATCTTTGTCTTCTACCTATTTTTTATTTCTCCTTCCTTGTTCACTTTATTCTCAGGAGACACTGGTCTTGCATTTCCTTGAGTGTGCCAGGCATGCTCCCACCTTTGGATCTTTGTATTGTCTGTATTAGCTTCCCCCCTACCCCACCTGGCTCACTCCTATTTCCTTAAAGTTTTGACTCGGTTGGCACCTTCTCGGTGAATTTCAGTTCTGCCACCCTATTTAAAATTACACCTCCCCTACAACATTCTTCATCTCCCTTCTTCTGCTTTATTTTTCTCCATAGCTCTTTTTACCTAGTAAACTGTAATATGTCACTTATTCTGTTTTGTCTCTCTCCCTGCACTGGAATGTAAGCTACATGAGTACAAGGGTTTTGGTCCCCTTTATTTACTTCTATATTCCCAGCTCCTAGAATGCTCCCTCAATAAATTTACTTTTAAATGAATAACATGAATGAATTTAACAAGTTCTCTGAATATGCTTAGTATTGTTTCTTAGACATTACATTCTAGTAGAAGAGAAAAATCAGTAAACCAACAAATAATTACAAATTGGTTAACACAGTGAAGGAGATGGACATAGTATTGGATTAGAGATTGGGGAAAACCTACTTTATATGTAGGTTTATGGGATGATCATGGTCCAGACAGAGAATGGCATTTGTGAAACCTCTGAGGTGAAAAAGACATTTCCATACAGGAAGGTAAATGCTTTGGAGAAATGAATTCTTACAAATAACTATTGGGAACAGAAAGTACTTGCTCCTAGTTTCTGATAGATTTTTCTTAAATTTCAGTTTCTAAATTTGTATAACTCTAAATATGTTGGAGAGCATTCTTTTGAAATATGAATGACACTTGTTATTTAAATCCACTTTAGTATTTTAATATGTGCAGGTACAGCTGCAGTTTGGTTTTAAAATCTGTTTTTCCCTCCCGAACTATGCAAGAAATACATGTTTATTTTAAGAAGTACAGAATTGTATAAAGCAGAAAGTGGAAAGTACCCCTTAACCCCTCCCCACCCCTAATATCCATTCAAAAGCTATACACATTCTCTTTCATGCATTAAACAAACAATTATTGAGCATATATATCACTAGGCTTACAGTGATGAGTGAAAATAGATACAGCTTCTCTCATTTTCATTTGTGGAGAATTTACATTATTGTGGGGATGAACAGATAAATGTAAAAATATAGGTATGTTAAGTGCTACAAAATAGAGGTATGTGATGCAGTAATAGTGTATAATAAGGACATTTCATGTAGTCACGGTGGTCTGAGAGGGCTTCCCTGAAGAAGAGACGCTTGAGCTGAAATAGAAGTAAGATGTGCACATGAGTGTGTGTTTTGTAATGCGATAGATCCTTTTGTAATGAATGATATCTCTTAATTTTATAAGGTTTTCATTTATGGCGGAGGTACCACTGCATTTCTTTGGATTTCCGAGGTCCTGTTCTGTGTTATTGTTCAATCAGTAGTTGCAGTTTTTCAGAAAAATTTCAAGGACTTTAAAAAAATATCTAAATCTTACTGTTATCCTGGTTTTCTTTCTAGCTCTGAAGTCATTTCTGTAAGAAATGACAAAACGTATCCATGAGAGGGTTATCTAGTCGGGTCTTCACAAACCAGAAGTAAACTATAAAAGGCCAAGGTAAGAGAAGATAGTGGGCTCATAGTTATTTTCCTAAGTCCCTCCAAGTTCTGTTGTAAGAAGTAGCACACATTCCTGTCTGTCATATTACTGACCTTCTGGGCTTGTCGTACATATTTTTTACTCTATTTTAATGCCCTATCTCTCTCTGTTGGTTGCCATATGGAAATAAATCTAGAGTGAAACTAAGTGATGTCTAAACAGCATATGAAGCTCTTCATAGCACCTTCTCTTTTTCCCCATTACCTTTTAAGATCTTTGAGATTATAGATAGTGTCCTTTAAGCCTGAGTTCCTAGCACAGAGTATTCCAGGCTTATTAGGTACTCTTTAAGTTTTGAATAAATCAAATATCTGCTCTTGTAGATTCAATGCTTACTTCTATTCCTATGATCCTTCAGATCTCTATATTCATTCCTTCTCTGTTGAGCTTTTAAGTTCACATCTTCTTGGAGGTGCGTCAGGGATTACTTCCTTATACTCCTCTACCATCACCTTCTTGCATCATCTTGGCTATAACTAGAATTCCCTTTTTTAGGTAAGTGGTGTATCCTATTCTTTTAGCTTTTAAACCTTTATCTTTCTTGCTTGTCCCTGTTTTAATTCTAGGTGGTCACCAAGTCCAATTGATTGTTTATTTGTGGTGTCCCTCATATATTTTCTGTAACTATATCTCTGCTACCATCAGTATCCTGGCCCATGTACCACTGCTCTGGTATATCTCTCTTTCACAATTGGATTACTACCATGTTTTAGATTTTCCCTCTTAGCCCCCCTCTTCCCCAAGTCTCTTATTTGGTCATGTGTTATTGTTATTTTTGTCTCCTTAAAAAAGCTCTTTGAACTTATCTTTCTGCTTAGGTAGAACTCTACATTGCACATAGAATTACTTCCATTAGCCTGACTCCTTAGCCTTGAATTCAGTCTTTCCCTGTTTGGCATTCATTCTGTGGTGGTACCTTAACCTTTTGCTTTACAAACTAGCAAATTGTCTTCTCCTAGTCCCTCCTGCCTCATTGGAATAAATGATAATTGGTTTTCCTTGTTCTTGTCCTTTATTAACAATTGGATTGTGATTATAGATTGTCATATTCCTATTTGGAACTTATCATAACTGTTCCCCAAATTTGTGCTAATATGATGAACAGTTATCCACACATTATCCTTAAGGCTTTTATTCACCTAGGTGCGCTGTGCGTGGGTTTGGGGGAGACTGGGCACCTGTCAGAGCTAGATTTTTTTGTATACTTTCTAAGCCCTGCACTTTTTGTCTATCACTAGTCATTTACAGCACAGTTAATTCTTTCTTAAGCAGTCTTATCTACCAGTTTATACTTTTAAAAATCTTTTTCCGCCCTTGTTTTCCAGTTATATTGGGTTAATTCCTCTTCCTTTCTGTTCTATTTATGGTCTCCCAAAATAGATATGTTTGAAAGTGTTTGTTCACTGGATTCAATTAAACTCACTCAAGCTACAGTATTGATGGTAATTGACTGACTCACCTTACATAGACTATCCTGTGTATTTCCTAATGGGATTTTAAATTTTGAGAGATTCTCTGGTTTTTAAGCTAGAAATAGAAATTTCCTGAAAGATATCTTGGGCACTGTTCAGTTTAGTTTGTGTGTTTTGTTTTATTAACTTCTTGGTCGGCCCTGTGCATTACTGTAACAAGACTAAGGAAAAGGCTCAGTTCGACGTTTAACATTCTGAAAGGTTGGTTTAGTGTAGCCTCAGTAAAAGTAAAAAAAAAAAACAACAATTTGTCTTCTGACCCTACTTATGCTATTGAAATAAGGCTTTAATATTTATAAATGGTAACTTTTGAAATAGCTTCTTATGAGAGTTTATTGCAAAAGAAGAGAATTCCGTGATTTAAGTTCCATGAAGTATGCTGATTTTTGTTTTCTAAGGAACTAAAAATATCACCTTTAAAAATAACAACACATATATTGTTCCTAATGGTGTATTTTAGGATAGTTTTGATGTGTTAGGTGGCCTGGGATGAGGATGGCAGAGACACAAATAGGAAACTACTCAGAAGCCAAGTTTTCATATAGGGCAGGGGTTCCCTACTGGTACTGGTCTGTGGCCTATTAGAAACCGGGCCACACAGCAGGAGGTAAGCAGTAGTTCAGCCAGTGAAGTGTCAACTGTATTTGCAGCCACTCCCCAGTGCTAGCCTCTCACCTCTTCAGCTCCACCTCAGATTGTCAGGCATTAGATTCTCATAGGAGTACCAGTCCTTGGTGCTAAAAAGGTTGGGGACTGCTGTAGGCTTTGTCTCACGTTAGCTGGGCTGTAAAATATATTTTCCCTTCTACTTAGAATGGGAACTGAGAGGGCAAGCAAGCCCTGGAGCACTTGAAAGCACTAAAGATAACAAATTATGCAGTCTTCGCTAATTGAGTCCTTTTGGAGATAGAAGAAAAGTTCATTTTCATTTGTTAGTTTATACATCATTAGGTTGTAGCCAAGCTTCTCCAGAATTAATCATGAGGAATGTGGGAGAAGCTACAAGGAATGGAGAAAGAAGAGGCAAGAAAGGAGAGTCAGAGGAAAGAGAACAAAAAAGAAAGAGCAGTAAATACTGGTGGGAGATGATGGAGGAGATCAGACGGACTTTGAGAGAGGAGAAAAGAAAGAGCTGCCTTATTTCTTCTGAGATGTGTGTTTTTTCCACCTCATAACTACTATGAAATTGGGATATGTCTGGCAGTCGATGGCATCTGAATATTATATTTAGCTAGGTGGCAGTTTTGATGTAGTTGCCATTGCCTGTGCATAAACTTGGCCTTTGCTGTTTATACTGCTGTCATTTCTTCCATTTACACCCTCTGGGAAGATCAAGCAAGCACCATTATCAAAACTTGGAGGATGGGTGTCAGTTGCTTAAATGACAATCCTGGGGTAATATTGAAACACTCTTTAGACTTATATTCTTAATGTAAAGAAAATTTTGAAATGGTAAGAAAGCGTTCTGTGATCATTTAATTTTTAGCTTTTTCTTCTTTCCAGGTTCATAAAATAATGGTACCTCTTAAATAGATGGCTTTGTGTAGTCGTTGAAATAAAGTAGCTGAGCTATATATTTAAAATCTTCAACCTGATACCAGTTTTTTTCATGATTATTACAACAATAACAACTATAGTTCCCCTCTACCATATACATAGTATGCCAGGCACTGAGTTAAGTGTTTGTCTCATCTGATTCTCAGAACTGATATGCACTATACAAAATAGGAAAAATGAAGATTTAGGTGTGTTAGATGCAGAATTTGAAGACAAGTTCATTAGACTTCAAATCTGGTGTTTTTATGTGTTACAGTACATGTATTAATATCCCAGTGTAGATTAGCCTTATTGTGTATTTCTTACCAGTTCTCTTGTTCTACCACTTATGTTCCAGCAAACTAAACTGTAGTATTTCCCCATCCTGATAGATAAAAACTCTGATGTTTTGACTTTACTCTCAATAGTCTTTATGCCTGAGTTATAGCTACCTCATGCTGCTTATCTTCCAATACTCCCTTCCCCAAAGGCCCATCCCCTGAATTTCTTTTAGCACCCCGTACACTCTTAGGGCATCTGCTATTATCCATTGTGTATTATAAATAGGTATAGGCATCTTAGTTGTTTATTAATTTGTAATTCTTTAAAGTTAAGGCTCGACCTTACCCTTTAGCATCTAGGTTTGCCATTTTTAGGTGCACTCAGTAAATTGTGTTGCATAAATAGGGCTATTAGATTAAGTTTAGCACTGGTTATATATATGCATTAACATGTTTGTTTGTTTGTGTATGTATGTTTATAAATAGAAATGCCTCAGTAGGCCCTGAAAGCATTGTAGAAAGGGAGGACAGAGGACCAGATTTAATTGTCTAGCAATCTATAACCTGTAAAGACTCAAGTTACACAGCATAGTCTTTTGAGACTTTTCTCTAGTATTAGGATGTTCAGAGATAATACAGAAAAATATTATGGGTGTTTATATACATAATCAGCTGATTGAATTGAGGGTGGGTGTTTTCAGTGTTTGTAAATTCATTTTATTTAGTGAAAGGCAAAAGGTACATGAAAAATTGAACCAACTTTTTCATAAGAAATTCAAAATTAAACCCTTTGGTTACTAGAAAACCTAATCATATTCTAATTTTAAAAGGTTGCAAGTTCACTTGGGGCTCTTACATATGCTAACATATGCAAATCAGAAAAAGCATAGTATCTTACTCTGTTTTTTGTATAAATAGTGAGAAATTATTTCTTAACCAAGGACTATGTGAAGATAGTAAAATTTATTGTTGTATCTCAAGCACTCATAATTTTATTTCAACTTGCAGACCAAGATGTTATTTTGAACATGATATATGCTACAGAAAAGATTACAGGAGAAAATTGACCTATCATATGAATAGTATAAAATAGTTTTAATCACAATATAAAGATTTCATTTAGAAACCTAAATGTTAAATGTTATGAAAGTGAATAAGTGAAATATGCTTGAGCCATTAAAAGCATATATATGGCACATTCTCGTTGTGGTAAATGGAAAATGTGGAATACCAAATAGCGTCATGGTGTAGCCTCAATCATGGCCTGAGGTGGAGAGACTGTATATGCAGAGAAAAAAAATATAAGGAGGTAAGTATATCAAATGTTAATGAAATGATTATGGTTAAGTATATTTTATAATTTGAAAAACGTTTTTTAAAAAGTAATGCATCGTCTTATGATTTCTGAGATAATTATTTTCTAGCGGTAAGTGTAACAAAACTATCCTAATTGTAATTGGAGCTTTGTAACTCCAAAAGAAAAGGCTTCCATAATAAATGTATGTTTTTATGTGATAGTAATTAAACATTAGTCATTTCATACCTACTGACTGACTTAGCTCAACTAAGAGAAGAATGAGTTAAAATAAAGAAGTTGATGAGATGTGTTAAGTGGTATAAAAAAAATCAATTTGATAATGAGCACATTTAACTGGATTATCCTTGGTTT